GGTCAAGCAGAGCGCATTATTTAGACTTTAGAAGATATATTGAGGTCTTGTGTGATTGATTTCAAAGGTAATTGGGATGATCACTTACCTCTCATTGAGTTTGTTTATAACAATAATTACCATTCTAGCATCCAGATTGATCCTTATGAGGCTCTTTATGGGAGAAGATGCAGATCTCTTATATGATAGTTTGAAGTTGGTGAAGCTAGGATGATATAACCAGACTTAGTTCATCAAGATATAGAGAAAGTGAAAGTTATTCAAGAGAGGTTGAAAAGAGCGTAGAGTCCTCAGAAATCCTACACTGATGTTAGGAGAAGAGACTTAGAGTTCAAAGTAGATGATTGGGCTATCCTTGAAGGTTTCACCCATGAAGGGTGTTATGAGATTTGGTAAGAAGGGGAAGATTAGTCCCCGATACATTGGTCCTTACAGAATATCCAAGAGGATCGGTAACGTGGCTAATGAGTTGGAGCTACCACAAGAGTTAGCAGCGATTCATCCGGCATTTCACATTTCCATGTTGAAGAAGTGTATGGGTGATCCTTCACTTATCATACCTACTGAAGATATTGGTATTAAGGATAGCTTATCTTACGAGGAGATTCTTGTTCAAATTCTAGATCATCAAGTTCAGAAGTTGAGGACCAAGGAAGTAGCATCGGTCAAAGTTCTGTGGAGAAATCAGTTTGTTGAGGAAGCTACTTTGGGAAGTTGAGGAGGACATGAAAAAAAGGTACCCACATCTCTTCGAGTCTGAAGAAATTCCAAATTAAGGTACTAATCCTTTCCTTGGAATTTGTTTCAAGTTGGCTTGTTCTATTTATATTTTGCTTGTTGAGTGTCTGAGTTGGATGTTAGATGTTACTCCCTAAGCCTACTAAGAGTAATCTCATTCGAGGATGAATGTTACCAAGGGGGAGATATTGTAACACCCCACTATTTGAAAGAACTAGAATTAGAAAGAATACATTTTTAGAAATAATGAAAATCTGAAATTTGGCAAGTTATGTTGAGTATGAGTTTTGGATCAACATCAAATGACCATAACTCTCAGCACATGGTGATTTATGTGAGATCCAAGATATCAAATGAAAGGTCTTTGAATTATCTTTCCAACACCATCGAGTTTGCTAATTTTTGAGTTCGTATGAGGGAGATATGCCCGTTTGAAGTCGGGTTATCAAAATAAGAAAAGTCACCCAGATATTAGAGGAGTATTTTGGTCTTTTCCTTACCCAATTAGCTTATTTCTTTTGTAGTAATTAATAAAGGGTCTAAACTGAATTGGTTCAATTTACGCACTAAAATTCACGCTAGGGTTTTAGAGAAAAGAACTCAAGAGGAGAAAGGAGAAGAAAAGATCAAGATTCATCAAGTTCTTGCGATTTTGGTTGCAGATTTCACCAAGGATTCGATCCTAAGAGGTATGTGAGACTTTCATAGCGTTGGGTTCGATCACCCACGCGCCAACCATGTGTATTTCAGCAAAAAATCATTCTACAAAGTTAATGATCTTGGATTGTGTACTTAAAATTTGCTTTCGTTCTTGAGATTTGATGGGATTGTTGTGCTCTTGAGGAATTAGTGTCGATTTTTGAGTCGTTTATGAGTAGATTCTTGAGTACATGTTGTGGGTATCTGAATGTAAAAAGATATTGAGAAAAAGAATCGACTTTAATCGAATTAAGGTCAGAAAATGAGAAGAAAAATTCGTCGGACTGAACTGGGGGAGGGTGGCGCGGCACGCCACTGATGTGCTAGCAAGGCTGGCGTGGCGCACCAGCACTGCGCCAGAAATGGGTTCCAGTACTTTAGGGGCTGGCGCCCCGCGCCAGCATTGTGCTAGGGTCACCTGGTCTCACCCATTTTTAATTGTTTAATAGCCCGTCTGAGTCCTTCTAAAGTATACTAACACTTCCTATTGATTCTAACTCCTCTAAATGACTTTTAAACGTCTAAAAATCATCCATAAACATGAATCATAACCTTGAATCCATAAATCCAAATTCAAGGAAAGTTAAGAGTCAAGTCTAGAGAATTTTTAGAGTCTTTTCAAAAGTCTTTTATAAATGTTTTAAACTTGTTTAAAGATTTGAGCATTGAGTTGCGTAAGAATAAGAGTGAAGTTCATCTTCTTCAAAAGATTATATGGGGACTAAGTATTCCCAAAGAGTAAATGTTTTCACATTTAAACAAGAGAGGAAACACAGATTTCCAAAAGAGCTTTGATCTAGTTTTTGAGTAATAATCCCAAACCAAAGAAAGAGTTATGTTTTAAAACTTCTGAGCTGAGTGTATTTTGGGAGTAGTATTGAGCACCGATATGGGGACAAGTTCATAATAACTCAACCATATAGCCAACATGGGTAGAAAAGATTATACTTTTTAGATGATTCCTTAATGCTTTTTAGCTAAGACTAGTGGATCCACTTAGTTGAGGTGTTCTATATCCCGGCAAGTTATAGGACAGTTCTGGTAGCGTGGGCGAGACGTTGTATCATCACATATCTGATAGTGATCGTTGTTGGTTAGAGAAACTCCCATATAATTATATTACTTTATTATATATGTAAATTGAGTTGTTATTGTATTTCTTCAATACACCGAGTTGCTACTTATTGTTTAAATATTTTATATAAACTGCATATTTACTGTTGTTTATTTCTGCATTGAGTTGAGTAAGGCTGAGGTAAGTGTTTTTTTTCAGAATTCAGCTCAAGCTTATGTCATGTTTAGTTTTCCCCTCGCATGCTCGTACATTCAATGTACTGATGCCATTTGACGTGCATCATTTTATGATGCAAATACAGGTAACCAGGATCAGCATCCAGCACTTCATTGATCCAGTTGAGCATTTCAGAGTCATTTGGTGAGCCTCTTTGCTTTCCGGAGGATCCCCTTTTTATTGCTTTCCTTATTTCAGTTGTTAGGATGATCGGGGGTCTTGTCCCGACATCCCTCTTAAGTATTAGAGGCTTCATAGACAGTTAAACATTAGTAGTTCATTAGTCTTATTCATTTCAGTTGGTTTGATCATAAGACTTGAGTTGCCTTCATGGTCAGTTGAATGCTTTCCTTTATACATTCTAAGTTTGATTTATGAATTTATCTCTTGAGTTGTTTTAAATGTTGAGTAAAGTCTTCCGCTGAGTAGTAAGTCAGGCCAAGGGTTCACTTGGGGTCAACAATGGTTCTCGAGTGTCGGTCAGGGTGTAGGCTCGAGGTGTGACAGCAGGACCTTAAAAGCGGAGGCACACGCATCAGGCAACAGAAATTTCAGCCAAACCCTTCGGGATCAGCCTACGGCTCAAGATTTGTTCAGAATTTTGTGCCTGCAAATGAGATATGCAACCCAATCATATTAAAAAATTTGACTCAATGGAACAATCAAAACTTCAATATGAGATCATGTCTGTCACACCCCAAGGCTACCCCTAGACGTAACACGGGACCAAGATCACAAGTGACCCCAAGCTAACTCTGGGTTTGGTCTATCACAAGCATACCAAATATATAACTAAGATCAGCAGAAGCATAACTAATAAATAAGTCAAAACTAAAGGACTCCAAATGAAAATATATCTGAATATCTGGAGGAAACAACCCCAAAACACATAACACTGACTCTATGTCTGAAAGCCCATATTACTGATGAATTGTTGGGACAAGTCCCCATCTAACTAAAAATAATACTAAAAGACCAAAAATAAGCTAATTCAACCAAACATAAAGAAACGCCCTCGAACTATGAGGACTCACAACTGAAGTTGTTGAGTATGGGCTGGAAATCGTACTGAGCGCGGTCTGGATGATGAGCGCCTGAACCTACATCATAAAATGATGTAGCGCAAAGTATGCGTCAATACTTTGAATGTATTGAGCATGCAGGATTAGACACCAAGTTGAACGATAAAAATAGAACAATATAATACCGACAATATAGACTGAGCATGGCAATAGGTTGTACTAGAGAATAACTTAAAACTGAGCTAGATGCAATGACTAAGTACTAATCATGAAGATAATATGTTGAACTGAATACTTAAGTAAATGGTGATAACATGGTCAATGCAATAATAGTATGACTGTGGGAGCTACTATTAACCGACATAAACCACGTGAGCTAAACGTGGAAGATGATGTATACGCCCCATCGAGAGGACCCAATATACCTTGACAGGGGTATAGAGGCATGACTGCAATGTGATCACTAAAACTGATGCCCAACAGAGGGGACTTCTGAACCTACGTTGACACATAGTTCTAGGACTGTGAGGGTACGCTGAACCCTAGTCCAACTCGGTGCTAAGTCTACTCCCAACTGAATATGTATATAGCTAAAATGCAACTGAAATACTGAGTAGCTCAAGATACTGACATGCTATCTGAAAATGCAACATAAGTATATTGAAAGATATGGCATTCGAGTTCTGAAGCATGATTTTCTGACTGATCTTCCTAGCAAGTATAAATCATGAGTACTGATAATTAATACAAGCTAGGGTTTTGAATTCTATACATGGAATTCTATACATCACTTAATGGTTCTTTATTTTTATTAGACAACGAAACAAAATGACCAATATTATTATACCAAAGCATTACTCTTAACTATACATTCACATAGAAGAAACAAATGTTTATGACATGAAGTACTGGACATACTAAACTAGTAAAATCCTCTTCATTTTCCTTCGAAATGAGCCATGTTTATTCCAAGAAAACATCACCAAATTAACTGTACAATTCAGAAAGAAGAAATATAAAGTGATGAAAATGGCACTGAAAGAGATACATATTAACTAATCTCACTAATATGATTAAACTAGTACCATTGAAGAGTGTGAAGGAGTGATAAATACTCTTTCACAATGCATTAATGGAATTTCTCGGGGTTTGTGAGGAAATGGAGTTGTGTTTGATAGGAAATACTCAAATCCAGAACAATTTCAAGAATTGGGATTTTCGCAACGCGCTGCCGAAAATAATATTTGAACCTAATTAGTTCCTGTGAATGAAACTCTGCCAAAACCCATACTACCAACTTGATACAAGTCTAACCAAATTTGGTCTACATCAATTGTTGTACTAAAACTGTCTTTTAACTCTTGTTCCACATGAATTCCTTCTTGTACAATACTATCAGTAATAGTAATACTCTTGTCATGTTTCCTCTTCTTGTCCTCTAACTTTTTCTTTTTCACCATTCTCAAGCATTTCCTTCCCACCATCCAGGGGATCTTTAGAAATGCCAATGCTAAAATGTTTACTACAGCACACGGGCAGCAACAGACTGCTACGCAATCCGCGATTAAACCACCACTACATGATCTGCATGACTTACCACTACACTTGATCGTATCATCATCCACCACCGCGTGACGGTGGTTCTTCCCCTTTTTGTTACGTTCAATTGTTGGAGGTGAGTATCCATGACCATCCATGTCACTCAGCTCTATATATGTTGATTATTTGCTCATAAACTACTCCTACAAAAAGGTATCAAATGCATTATTATTCTGTGTTTTGTTTTAATATTTTTTCTCTACATATTGTAGAACATCTGCACTGCATATATGTCGTACTACAAGTAAATACAGAGGCAGATATAAATATACATGCAACAGAAACAAGTACGACTTTAGGAGTAAAATTTTACACAATTTATTTTTACTTGTTATATCTGGACTTGGCCCACCCATTAGAAAAATAACAATTGATATGATTATTTTACTACACTATATCTAATGATTTGGGTAAAACATGAAAAAAAATTGAAATTGTGGATAAGTAAAACTGAATTGAGAAAACAATAAATACTCCTTCTGTTTCAAAATAAGGGTATATTTAGCTTATTATATGCTCATTAAATAAGCTAAAATATTACTTTGATTCTAAATTACTCCTTCCTATGTCTCAATTTATTTAAATTTTAAAAGTAATTTTTTGTAACTCTTATCATGCTTCCTAACATATAATCTTTAAAGTATTTGAAACAAAAAATTGAATTAATTTACATGTATCGAAAGTGGGTCATGCATGGAAAATTACAGCAATTGCAATGGACGAGTGTGGATGATGAGCTTGTGTGTGCTAGTACATTGGCAGCGCGCGTCTTTGACTAATTACTCCCTCCGTCTCATTTTATGTGACATTTTTCAGATTTTAAAATTCAAACAAATTTATATCTTTGACCATAAATTTTCCATAAATCTTTTAAATATTATGAATTATCAATTATTGAGACTTAAATACTTTTATATAGTTTACAAATACATATATTTCATTTTTAAAAATTGAAGATTTCATGCGCAAATTTCGAGTCAAACTTAAGTTGTTTGACTCTCAGAAAACGAAAACTGTCACATAACTTGAGAGTATATTATTTTTCATCAGAAGTACGTACTCCTAGCAGTAACAAGATAAAATGTGGAGGTTTTTGTTTTTTTTTTTGTTTATGCAATTGTTCTTGTATTTCCAAGTGAGTAGAGAAGACCATGTATTTGGTAGGTAATAGGGTAGATATATTTACCCAGAAAAGAAAGAAGAGGGTAAAACAAGACTTTAACCTCCCTGAGAATCAGAGACGATACATATGGCAAAAAGCGTGATCAAGTATTCCTTACATTATTACATATCCTACCACTTTTAACAATCATCTCTCCTCCACTCCACTCCATATACAATTTTCATTTTAAAAACAAAAATTATTTCTTTTTCAAATTTCATAATAAAATATAACTAAACACGCAGTAAATTTGTGTAAAAAGTCATCAACTCTGAGAGAGGGGCAGGTATCAACGAGAATTATGGTGGAATTATAAATATTCCTTCATCTTAATCAAAGGTCTTAGGTTTGAATCTTTCTACTGGGTACAAAATCGTCTTTTTCAAGGAGAACTTTACCTTTTAATGTGAGACTTTTTTCTGTAAATCTAAATTTAATTGAACTTCAATATTAATATCGAACACTGAATGAGGAAAAAAAGGAGGGGGCCAGGTGTTGTTATAATGAGTAGTGTTGGTGGGGGATACAAGTTTGTAGGTTGAAGAATGAAAGAGAGCTTAAAAGGGAATGTAAGAGATGTGACTTTAGAGAGAGAGCCCTCATACAGAATCCAAGTTGGTGTAATATTTTCTTCTCCAATTGGGAATTAATGTCATAAATTCTACATTTCATGTCTTGGCTGGACCCAATACTTTTCCACTGTCTCTATCAAATTTACTCCTTTTTCTTTTCACTTTTAAATTCTTAACAACATATATATATATATATATATATATATATATATAACCACGTGATATGTTTTTCTATAAACCATACAAGTCTCCTTCCATAAATATACAAGGACAAAAAACACCAAATATTTGCTTGTCTTTATATAAACATATAAGTGAAATACTCCCTCCGTCTATGTTTACTTGTTTAATATATTAAAAATAATTGTCTAATAATACATATTCAGTTTCGAAAATCAAGAGACAATTTATCTTTTTTATTCTATTTTACCTTTAATTTGCTATTAAATATTATTCAATATCTAATATATTTGTCAAATCATTAAATTTAATATATTCAAAGGCTACTAATATAGTAATATTACACTTATTAAGGTGTGTGTCAAGTCAATACTTAACAACTATTGTTGGACAAAGGGAGTCCATATTTTACTAGTAGTATCATAGTAGCTAGCTATGTTAATGATGTATAGTTTCGATGGACTTAAGAAATTAATTATTTGGGGAACGAGTAATTAATGTTAAGAGTAAAATAAAAAAGAAAAATCTCATATGCTAAATTATACTTCCTCTGTTCATATTACTCGACTCATTTATCCTAATACATTCTTTAGAATATTTTTAGTCAGAGGAGTATTTTAGTAAATTATTCTTATTAACGATGTTTAACTCTAAATTTGATTAAAAAAACTCTAAATTTAATTGCTGCTACTTTATATAATTATTCAACACTAAAGGCTATACGTGGATAAAGTAATAAATTTTCTTAACTTGCTAAAATGAACCAGTAAAATTATATATCTATTTTTGGTATAAAATTAGGTTAAATGAAATGAAGGAAGAAAAAATGAACCTAGAGAGTATATGACTGCAGGAAAGAGCATTTCACTAACAGTGGGTAAAATTGAGTAATTTTTATTACTATTGTATAGCTAGAAAAATTCAATTACTTTATTGTGAATTCTTTGTTGTTGTATTGGGTAAATTTTGGTGACTTCACTATTGAAAATAGAGAACACATTTTTTTTATTTAATAATATTTTCAATATATCATCTCTCGTGTGGGTCTAAATTTTTAATGATGAGCGATGGTGATATTCGATTCTAATTAAACCTTTGCTTGTTTTAATATCATATCAAAATATGTGATAATTTTATTTAAAATTTAAACGGTTACAAATAACATATTTTATTTATCTAATTATATTTTCAATGAAATAAGTTTAATAATCATACTCGAAATTAACTCACGGTTTGTACTCATAACCTAAATTTGACTGAAAAATAAATTAAAGCATGCATTCATGCATGAGGATTTTAAAAATTAATAATTATAAGATCTAACATTGAGCAAAGAAATTTATGTACTTTCCAATATTTTAGCAGAAGAATCTTATGCTCATAGCGTGATAATCAAGTTGTATAACTCCAATATAATGTGCAGTAGAAATGTTATACTATTTGTAACTTTGTTACTATATCACTAGGCCCTAGTTAGCTCTTCACATATTCTTTTAATTTTTTTAATTAAAAGTGTATTTTAATGTATAAATCTTTTTATAATTTTTAGAAACTTTAAATTTGAATACTACAATTTTACATAGTTATTAAATACTAAAAATAGTATTAAAAACACCCTTAGCTTGATTTGTTAAAATGAAACATCTACTTATTTTGTTATAGGGGCAAAAGTAAAATGAAACGAAGGAAGTACTCCTATTTTTTAATTACTTATCAACTTTTTAATTGACACACCTATTTTACCCCTATTAATTATGAAGTGGATGAATTAAGAATTTAAGATTTTCAAAAATTTTACCTTTTTCAAAATTAATTAATTGAAGGTATAATAGGTAAAAATTATTTATCCTTTCTTGACTTCTGAAAATGGACAAGTAAAAAAGGATAAGTAAAAAAGAAAAATTGGACAAGTAATTTGGGATAGAGAGAATATCATTTAGTGGTCAGGTCGTTTGATAAGATATAAGAATAGTGTTGAATAAGACGTATTAATAATTATTCATATTATTAGTAATATTTATATTAATTATATTAAAATTATGTCGTTTTTAAAAAAAAAATAGGGTAGCTTCACATGGTGACTAAGTAAAGTGTATGAGCACGAGGTGAGATCAGTCACACCCTCACAGAAGCATAAAATTAAAATGGAATACAAGTATCTACTCCCAATGCAGTGTATGTGGAGATTCCACATGGGATGTTTTCGAGATTTGGGATTTTTTTAATCCTTCATCTTCTTATTATTACTATTCAAACATATAGTAACATGGCTATACTAAAGTTCATTAATATTTTTATGAGTTTAAGTTTTGTATACTCAAGGGATCCACGTCCACCGTTATAAAATTGAGTTCATTTGAACTCTCACTATTTTTAACATGATGAAATATTTTTATATACAATTTAATAAAATTGTAACAAAGAAGTAGATGTCAACCAATATAACCTTAAAATATAATAAATTTAATGTGAATTTTTAAAAAATAAACACATAAAATTAAATTATGAATTCATTTTTGTAATATTATAAACATATTTTATTATTAGTACTTTTAAATTTATTGTTATTGATATTTTATAAACATATTTTAAATTTATTGTTATATATTGATTTAATAAAGTGGACAAGTATTGTCGAACATCTCAAAATAGTATAATGGACAACTATTGTTAGATAAAGGGAAAAACAAACAATCGGTGAGTCAAATCTATAATTAGGGTAATAAGTGATAATTATAGGTTCGTAAAAGAAAAGTGCATAAGAGTAAATAAATCTACCCTTATGTACAATAAATAAGTACTAATCCTAACAAGTTTTACTCCATAGGGGTAACTAATTGGAAAATATTTTGAACAATTACTTAATATAGTGAACTTTTACTTGTCTACCTCTAATTTTAAGAAAAGTTTGACAAGGAACAACTGAGTGATATTGACAACTTACCCTTTTTAAATTAAATTTAAAGAGTATATTATGCCCAAAGAATCATTCATTATGAAAGGGAGGAGTAGTACTTAATTAATTTATTTGACTGCCCACAAAAATCAAGATCATTAAAGTTCCAAGGTGTTAACTTACATAGTACCATTCACGTGAACTTGCATTATTGTAAATACTGAAGAAGAAAATAAAAACAAATTTCAAGGTTAACGCTTGTCTCTAGTTTTCTTAATGCTATTTGAC